TTATTCTTACATGAGATTGAATGAATTGCGACAAAAAAGTTAATGTAAAAAATTCAAATGAAAATTACAAATGTTGCCTTGACAACTACTTGAAATAAAATGAGCTATTTTAAGTTTTTATTAAATTCGTGTCAAATCAACTAAAGCTGAAATAAAAATAATTACATCTCAAAAGAAATGTACTAAAAAACTAATAAAAGTTACATATTTATTAAAACATAAATTAAAATAAAACATATTTTCAAAATGGATATTAAAATTATGACAATTGTATTAAAATAATTAATTACTTTACAATTATTTCCTGATTCTACTCAAACAATCCTGTCAAATTACGGCCAAACGTCTTCTATCGCTAAGAGCTGTGTACAAATACATTCCTAGACATGCTATGTCTGCCAGGTTTAAAAAAAAACATTACACTCTAAAAAATGCTGGGTTAAATACAACCCAGTGCTGGGTAAAATAGGGACAAACCCAGCAATTTGGTTGTTTTGACACAGCGGTTGGGTTACTACCCAGGTTAAACAGAGACGAGGGACTCGTGCATATTATAATGGGTTGTTTTCCCAAGCTGTGAAAGTGAATCTGTAAAAGATCTCAACAGATTGCTGCGACACTTCCACTTTTATCCAACTGTTAACAGCGTCATGTTAGCGTTGATGTTGTCTTGTCTGCGCATTCATATGTAGGAATCACTGTAGTTTCGAGAGCTTTCTCTATTTTATTTCTCATTGACCTCCTAAAACCATTCAAAACATCCAAAATGCCGTTTTTTAAACGTTTTAAAACCTTTTTTTAATTTGGAACATTCTATTTGAGCATTTTCCAAACATTATGAGAATGTTACTCTTGAATGTTATAAACCAGCAGTAACATTTAAAAAAAATGCTAGATGCGCGTCCAGAACGTTTTCAGAAATAATACATTCCAATAAGACATTTTTTTAAACATTGACAGCCAATCAAAATCCATCCTGCTTCAAATAGCTCGAGCATTTAAAGCAGATGACACATGATTATAATAAACAGAGCGTTATCGTGTGTCAGTGTTAATGCTAATATAGTTATCATTATTGTTCTTGGTGTAAATGGGCCTTTAGACTAGCGAAGCTATTAGCATCACTACGTTTAGTTAATCAACTCGTTTTCTATCCAGTGCTCTTTCAGCGTGCTTTCATGAGCAGCGGGATATAATTCTCCTTCACCTGCATGCGCGGAAGTCTGCTCTGCTGCTCGGAGATACCACGCTTGCCATTCCGATGTTTTGTTGCTCTTTTTTGATCATCAAAGATTCAGGCGCTGGTTTACCAGGATAAAATGCAAGAGACAGAGACAGCCTTTCATGATATGTATGTGTCTGGAAGTTTAATGCGCCAACACGGGCACGCTGGAGCTAAATGTTACGGCAGCAGAACTTTTGACGGACGGTTTCCAGGCCATGCTGATCTTCTGGAGAAGAACATGTGCACTGTAAAAAATGACCGTGAATTTAACGGTAAAAGAATGTAAAATTGCTACAGTAAAAACCTGTTAAATGGTTAACGGTAAATTCCCCTACTATATACGGTGAAAAACTGTATTGGACATTAATTTTACGGTAGTATACCGTTTTTGGACGTGAAAAAGACTGTATAATTTACAGTGAATAACCGTAAATTGACGTTCCCAGAGTTCTCTGCATTACATTTCAAATTTGATGTTTTTTTGTTGAAATAACTGTTTCTTCTTAGTTTTTTCTTATCAGTTTTGTATATTAGGGTTGTATGTTACACCTAATGTTGTTAAATTAATGTTTATTGCATTATTTCAGTTTCATGTGTGTTACCATGATGGTGTTTAGTGTTTGTGTGAATGATGCTGTGCACCTTCTATATATGTTATTATTTAAAAGCTGCTTGTGATGGGCTTTGGTTCATCATGTGACTTTCTCATCACCACCTGCATTTGGTGGTTATCAGTGTTTTACAAAGGTACAAAAGAGATTTCAGTACTTCAATAGGTTGGCATATTAACATTATATCAGTTAATGAAATTACGGTATTTAACTGTAAATTTAAGTTCAAACCGTAAAACCTAAAACGTTGCTACCATATTTTTTACGGTAAAATTCCGGCAACCACAGCTGCCGTTTTTTTACCGTAAATTTTACGCAATTTTTTTTACAGTGTGGATGTTCATCTGCCATTCTGTTTGACTGGATCAGGATCTTCAACTTTACTTAAATAAGAGAAGGCAATGTGACCAAAATATCACAGTTTGGGTAATTTTACAGCAAATCACGATACAGATTTATTTATTTTTTTGGTTATAGTTGTAATGCACATTTTTTAATAATCTAGTAAATTAAATACTTGATAAATGAATATCTCTTTTTAACTGATGGACACAAACCAAAATATAAAAGTTTGGCATCAGTGAAAAAAAGCTTTATTTTTACATTTTACTTATAGGAAAAAATGACTCAAAACAGTTAAAGTAATATAAATTAATAATGTAAATATTTTATTTATTTATATTGAATAGTTATGTTAAATATATTATTTAATATTATATCAAATATACAAATATTTTAAATGTAAAAAATATTAATATTTCTTAAAACAATAATAAATAACATAAAATAATAAAAACAATACTATTTAATGGAATTATTATTATTTTAACATATTAACAAGATTTAATTTTAATATTATTACTTAATTTATATATATATATATATATATATTTATATACAATTAGTAATGTTATTAATTTTTAAAAATAATAATCATTATATATAATTGTATAATAATGATAATCATCATCATCATCATCATTATTATTAACAAGATTGATGTAATTTTATGAAGTAAAATTAATTAAATATTAATTAAAAAAGTATTATAAATGTAATAATATTAATATTTTTAAATATTAATAATAATAACAATAAAAAATAAGTTATTCCCTGCCTTGAGTTACAGTGGGAAAAAATGCAAAACAGTAAAGATAATATAAAATAATATTTTAAATATAAAGGTATTATTTAATATTAGATCAAAAATAAATATAAAATCATTTATAAAATTACATTTTAATAATAAATTAAATTAATAATAATTAATGTAATATTAATCATATAAATATAACATTATATAACATTAACCAAAAAAAAAATTTTAATTGAAAGATATTAAGATTTTGTAATTATTATAATTATTGTTAATATTAACAATAACAAGTTCTTCCTTGTCTTGAGTTGTAATACTCCATGTTACCATGTCGCTTTCACATGCAAACTGGCCTACACATTAATAGCCGCTCAAATATATTTACCACGGTATAAACAGTATCACAATATCTCTACCCACAGACTAATTTCTACCGTCACACACTATCAAGCATCATATCGGCCAATCCTAGAGTTAACTACAGTTTTTGACTCACGATTTGGGTCTGACGGTAAACTACTCTCATCTGTGACATGTAGCGGCTCTAAAAATGGCCACCGGTTTTGTAATGTGGTCACACGACAGCACCGCCGAGCGACTCCACCCACGGGAAGACCAGCCCAAACTCTCTCCATCTGCTCCCAGAATACCGTCCCTCTCCGCTGAACGCACGCCAAGCCATTCGCACCGATGCTGCTTCACCAGTGTTTTTATGCAACGCAACCTGCTGGCATTTGTTGAAATCAGCGCGATGAAACTGCACATGCACAGAAAGCCTGCTCCTGGTCTGTTTGTTTTCGGTTTACGCTTCTATCCCAGTAGCCGAAGGGAAGGGTCAGATGGTTTAAATGTTCCTGCTGACATTATTCAGCAGCTGTCTGAATCACAAGCCTGTCAGCAGCAAAGCAAAGAAGCACTGCAACTGTGTGTGTGTGTGCGCGCGTGTGTGTGTGTGTGTGTGTGTGTGTGTGTGTGTGTGTGTGTGTGTTTTTAACACTGACAGTTAAAAGGTGCATTCCCATTTTTGTAACCCTAGTGTCTTCTCCTGACAGAAATCATTGTCTGAGGGTTTTGGCAGCTATTTTAAATATTCCCCAATATGTAATAGCAGTAACATTTATAATAAATACATTTCTGCCAACACATAGACTATTTGTACAGTGTTAATAACTTCAAGTTCAATTACTATGGTGCTGAATTAACAAGCCTATTGGCATTTTCCAATATACCTCATTGTCGTGGCTGTTTTCAGCCAGCATCACTATACTCATATCACACGACTGTATAACAATTCTGTGTGTGTGTGTGTTTAACACTGACAGTTAAAAGCTGCTTTCCCATTTTTGTAACCGTCTTTTCCTGACAGAAATCATTGTCTGAGAGTTTTGGCAGCTGTTTTCTAGTAATCACAGGCACTTTCTGTTTCCTCTTCTGCGCTGACACTGAAACACTTCTCACACATTGAGGTGTGAATTCATAACTGCGAGGCTCGTTTGAGGAAGAGGCGATTTAGCAAGCGCAGTCTGTCTCCTGTTGTTTTTTACGGGATTTTTGTGTGTGTGAAATTGCTGATGATGGTTTAGATCCAGAAAGCCCAGCGGCAAACATCTGCTTTGGTTCCACACAAGAAAGCAAAGAACTGCAACATCACACAACGAGACGCGTCATCTTTATTCTGCATGGCTTTACATGCACACGCACATATTTGGGAAACCCATATATGCTAAGAAGTGAGCTGCATGCTAGTATCTTATGCAGGGCCGTCGCTAGGATTTCTGGGCCCTGTGCACTGAATTTGCTATGGGGCCCCCTCAAAATCACGTGGGGTGGGGGGGTAGTAAAGGTTTTTACTGTTTTTTTACTTTTTTTTTTACTTAGTACTGTTTTTTAACCCCTGGACTGGACAAATCGAGCCCATCCGGCCCACAAATTCCCCCTTGAATGTTTTGATGGGTCATAGGGCCTTCAATTGGAGTAAATCAAAAAATACATAAAACAGGACAGAAACGAATAGTGATAGATATTACTGAATTCACGACAAATGCAGCAAACTTAATAATGCATTTTTGTCACATATAAAAGCATTTGACAGTAAAGCATTGATTTTGAGCTAGACTGCTGGAAAGTTACTGCTAATAAATTCTGTCATAATTTCCTCACCCTCATGCCGTTCCAAACGACTTTCCTATGTTGAACACAAAAGAAGATTTTGTAGAATGTTACCAAACCATTTTTGGTTACCCTTGAATTTCTCAAATTATGTTCCACAGAAGAAATTCATACAGGTTTGGAATGGCATGATGTTGAGTAAATGATGACATGATTTTCATTTTTGGGTGAATCTCCCTTTAAGAACTTTATTATTTGTAAATAATAAACACCTAATTTATATAAGACACTGATATTTATCTTTAATCAGGCCCTTATTGAATTAACATTTTACTTCAATTAAAGTTCATTAGAAATAAACATCTAAAAAGAAAGAAGTTCTTGCTTAGAATCCAGAGTTTAGCTGACTATAGTATTAGTAGGATGGTGGACAAGAAGTAAAACCATGGTCCTCATTACCATGGTTATATGGTTTTTAAAATAAATAATAAGTAATAGTAAACTATAAAATTTGTAGTTAAAAAAACTAAACATGAAGAAACTACAAAACACCTTCTATAAAATGTAAACATTCCCCAATATGTAATAGCAGTAACATTTATGATATAAATACATTTCTGCCAACACATAGGCTATTTGTACAGTGTTAATAACTAGTTAAATGACTATGGTGCTGAATTGACAAGCCTATTGGCGTTTTCCAATATACGTCATTGTCTTGGCTGTTTTCAGCCAGCATCACTAAAGAACCTTTAATGTTCTCATATCACACGACTGTATAACAATTCTGTGTCACATCTGAATGGATCAAGCGACTTGCGCTGTTTATCTCTTATAAATCGTGGCAGAAGCACGGCGCACATTCGTCAGCACTGTACGGGAGACTGATCAGTGCCTTAAAGCTTGATAGACAAGTCAATCAAGTTGTGAAGTCAAGCTTCTATCAGTTGCGAACCCTGGTAAAAATGAAGTCCTTTCTTTCTTTTACTAATTTTGAAAGAGTAATCCATGCTTTTATCACCACGAGGCTTGATTATTGTAACTCTCTTTATGTGGGGATCAGTCAATCCTCCTTAAACCGCCTTCAGATGGTTCAAAATGTGGCTGCCAGAGTCCAGACGGGAGCTCGAAAGCATGAGCATATTACCCCTGTCCTGCAGTCATTACATTGGTTATCTGTGCGCTACAGGATTCATTTTAAAGTGCTCTTATTGGTTTTTAAGTCTTTAAATGGTTTAGCACCTTCTTACCTCTCGGACCTGTTGATAGTTCACCAACCTGCAAGAGCTTTCAGGTCTGCCAACTTAAGGCTCTTAGTGGTTCCTAGAACCAGACTCAAGTCTAGGGGTGATCGAGCATTCGCCGGAGCTGCTCCGAGACTTTGGAATAATCTTCCTACAGAAATCAGAACTGCCCCTACACTATCCATTTTTAAATACAGGTTAAAAACATTTTTATTTGATATGGCTTATTATTCGTGATTTGCATTTGCTCTGCCCTGTGTCTTGCCGTTTTATTTGTGACCTTGTCTTTGTTTTTAATTTTGTCTGTGGTTACTCACTTTGTACGGCACACTGGTCAACGGTAGTTGTGTTTAGTTGTGCTTTATAAATAAATTGAAAATTGAAATTGATCCCGCTCTGCTTTGACGCGCGGCTGGTGGATGCACCAAGTCGCGCTGCTTCACACTTTTGGAGTATTTGCTTCATGCGGTTTCGCATGCGCTGTAATTTACAAACAGCGTCTAATATCGGGGAGGTCTCCCCTCGTTTCGGCCATCGGCCCACTAATTGAATGGAATGTCCCGGTGTTCCTTATGGCCAGTAGGCGATTACGGGCCGCCCAGAACTCTGGGCCCTATGCACTCTGTCACTCTTTTCCCCCCACTAGCGACGCCCCTGATCTTATGAGGATATTCAAATTTGATCCAATTTACAATCGTAATTTTGAATTTATCCAACCACCTTACTAAAGTCTGCCATGTTATACCTATCTCTCATGGTCCAATCAAATCAAATCTATTTCAAACTACATCAAATATAAAATAAATAAACTTATTTTTAAAATAATAATTATAAAAATAATAACTAAATGTAATATTAATAGTATTATTATTTTATATATATATATTTTTTTTTTAATTAATCAATATCAATTATTATAGACCCTTTTTCTGTTAGTAAACATTGTTTTCTGTAGGCGGAGCTTAGGTGGAGGCAAAAAAGATTCCCCTGACCGCTTCACTAACGCTAGTGTCACGAATTCGGTCCATGAACTTGGATTATCCCTTTCGTCTTGCCGTTCGGACTGTGTTTGCACCTTGCCTGGACTATTGCTCATGTTATCGGATTACCCCTCTTGTCAACCCCTCTGGATACTGTTAGCCGCCGATCGACCACGCCCGCTTTGGATTACTCTTGTCTTGCCCTCGATACACCTGTGTGCCATTGTCTGACCCTTGCCTGTTTTGACCATGTTTAAGAATAAAGCTTTGCAAATGGATCCGCATGCCTCTCGTCTCGTCGGCTCCGTAACAGCTAGCTATGAAGTTTGTTGTTTTTTTTTACTATTTTTACAGCTACATGAGAGTGAACTGGGCCAAAACACAAAAAAATTGTCATAGTCGTGAGATGCATAAGAAATCTTTAGACGCGTAACACATACCATAATACATATCAACAAAAGACAATACTTTATTTAACCTTTTCTGACAAGAAGTGTGCGCTGCAAACGCAAGCATTTTTGACTATCGTTTCTGTCCAATCCACTCGTTTTATCGCATTTAACCACAGCTGTTTTCGTTTTTTTGTCTGGCGGTGGCAGCAGGTATGCTTTAAAATTTTAAATTGCAGCCTCTACTACGTCGATTCTGGCACCCAACATCACAATAAGACGGTATTTTAATCTCCTTATGTAGCCGAATCTGTGCTGGTTTGAATTGGCCGCCTCCAGTTTCCCCTTTGTTTTGCCTCCAGTTAGTGCAGTGACGTAATTGTGAAGTTGGCCCTAAAAGGGTCTGTTTTGAAGTAGTAATAATAGCACTATCAAGTTCTTCATAGTCTTGGCTTATTTGGGATGCATCCTGCTCTCTCTATATATATTGTATGTATTATAATATATTTTATATTTATTACATTTCTGATTTTACTCTGAAAATATGTCAGATGATTTGGTAATTTCAAATACTCTGTAAATTTTGAGTTTAAAATCACATTCAAATTAAATAAAAATTAACCATATTTACTTCTGCTTACACATTGTTGCACATTATTTTATTAAAATTCTGGTTGATACAAAATAATTTTATTGTAAAGCCGATAACTGTTTAATAAACATATTAAATATTCAAAGTCTATACTCTTTGGTCTTTAATAAACTAAAACCAATCATTTTTAAATTATAAAAGTGAATGCATCACAACATTATAATATACAGCACAAAAAAATGAATAACATTTTTTAAGTAACTTGTTACTTAAATTAAATGGGGCAAAAGTAACATTAGCATGTACAATTAAATATATATCAAATATTGACCAATAAATATGAGCAGATAAATTAAATGGTACAGATATACAGTATCCCTCTTAATAATAACAAATAATGATTTACGATTTAGAAATGTAGGGATGTTCATTGAACGTTCACATATGAAACCATAAGAAACACACATTTTTAATAATCTAATCAATAACGCCTGCCATCCATTTTTTAATCGGTATCACTGAAATATGTCATATTACGTAAATAAAATAAGTTGCGAGTGCCTTTTCGTGGAAATAAGGCAACGTTGGTGCTTGATCCATTAGGATTTAATAGGATTGCAAAAAAGTGGGCTATGATATTATTTGTTACATTTGTCCCCCCCATCCACACAGCAGCCTTGATTACATCAGCAGAGAAAATTATGAAGATTTACTAAAATAATGTGCACTAATGAATCATGCACAATAAGGCCAGAGGCATTCATTAAAAAAGTAAATAGGGTAAATTTTAATTTCACATTGACTTTAAAGCATGCAATGGCTGTTCTGGATGCAAATCTCGTGCGATTCTATCATTAGAGCTCTTCCTGTCACTACAGCTGCACATGACATTTAAATGCATTACTCTGAGAAATCATCTCCGGATGTGAAGCCAGACAGTTTGAACGATTGTTATTTGGAAGGGGAATGTCGTAGCAGGTAAAAATGTGTCTTGGGTTTCTCATTAGATGCGAGAAGCAGCAGCTTTTCCCCCCCGTGACCATTCGGCTGCCTGTAGCACAAGTTTATTTAATAATGCACACAGCGTAAATGCATTTCCACAGCGGATTTACAGTCCGATGTTCTTAGAAATCTCATCTTGTTACATTATCAAACATCTGTGTTTTATAGCAGACGGCATGCAGAGAAAACATACGCTCAGATAACAGGTAAACGGCTGCGGGGTCTTAGTGTGAAGCTCAGAAAAACAAAGCTAAATGTGAATAATATTGATACAGTCATGAGTACATTTGGTGCGAAGTACTTGGTGGAAGCCAAAGTAGGCCGATGCTAACAGGAGCAGGTTGTACGACATGCTTTCAACCTCAAAAACCATAAACAAAATTAGATAAAAGTGCAAGAAAATGGGTTTATGTTTCATTCAGGGAATTCTAGGCCTCTGAAAGCATAAAGCATCAAATATTGTTACTTCGATTTTGTTTACACCTTTAAATATGAAATACAGCACTATCATCAATACTTCAACGCAATTTATGATTTAATGGACCATTTCAAACCAAACTGGTCAGCTCTTCCTGTTATCAAATTATGTCCTTCTCTTATTATCATTCACACAAAAAGAACATATAAACCTTTTTTTCCTCAGTGTTTGTGTTAAATCCTCAATGTTCCTCAGTGAATGTTAAAGATGAATAGACCAATTACAGTGATGACATTTTTGTGGGCGAAGCCTATCTGGTGGCAGAAAATGACAGTTTTAACATAGCAGTCTATTCAAGCTATGGAATAAAATAATAAAAATTTAATTTTGAGTTTTTATATTTCAAAATTTTGACACTTTTCTTGCAATTCCGAGATTATATCTCACAATTCTGGTAAGAAAAATCAACTCGTCATCCTTTCTTTTTAGTTTATAATCCTACACTTCTGGCTTTTTTTCCTCAGAATTGACAAACTCGCAATTGTTGACTTGAATAAAGTTATAAACTTGCATTAGCAAAAAAAAAAAAAAAAAGTCAGAATTGTGAGATAAAATAGGTAAATGGTATATGTTTAAATTGTAGGGCTAATATAATATGTCCCCTATATGAATATTATATGGACCTATTATTTAAATCAAATTTATATTTTAAAAGTAGGGTAATCATAGCAGGTTTCATCCATAGTCTGTCCGTTTAAACGTCTGCGTTTAGCTTCAAATGGCGTCTTTGACGACAGTGTTATATAAAAATGATTTGCATTCCGATTCTGACATCCAAAGGCACAACAATAATTTTTTTCTCTTATTCCATGGATTTTACCCATTTTCCTCCACTTGTTCCCAGTGTTTTTCTGCCACCACTATGCGCGCGCAGCTGCAAGTGGTGTAACTGTGACGTCTACTCCAAATTGGTCTATATAACTTATTTAAACATGGCACATCTGAAGATTAAGGATGTAACGGTATGAAAATTTCTTATCACGATTATAGTGACCAAAATTATCACGGTTATCAGTATTATCACGGTATTGTTCAAATGTGCTGGAGATGTTCAAAAAGTACCAACACATAAATCACATTTAAAAATCAACAAACAACAAATAAAATTACTTTTTGGACAAAGCAGTATTGCAATTAAGAACACTTCCTTTAGGTATTACATGGAGCGAAGATGAAAACAAAATATCATCGAATCGTTTCTGAAGACAGTCAGAACCTTCAGAGGTACATTCATATAATTAATTAATTCATATATTCATTGTATATTTCCCTTAGCACTCTTTTAAAACCTCCCTGCTTTTCCACCCTGTTTTCACTCAAACAAAACTACTCTGCGTGCTGTGCGCACGTGAGACTGTTCCTTAAAACTGTGCTTTATGCTGGACAGTATTTATTTATCGTGAGGTGTCTAATAAAAAAATTGCAGTAATCTAATACAGGTTTATTGATAATTAAAATATGAAACGGTAATACTAACCGTCGGGAATTTTATCATGATTTATCATCAAACCGGTAATCGTTACATCCCTACTGAAGATGATGTCACTTCCTCTTGATTATATGATTTTAAAGGTACAGTTTTAAGGAAGCCAGTTTCCGCCACTGAATAAAAATTTTAAAAAGGTAATTGCGACTTTTTATCTCACAATTCTGACTTTTTTCTCGCAATTGCGAGTAATAAAGTCAGAACTCGCAATTCTGAGAAAAAAAGTCTGAGTTGCGAGTTAATATCTTGCAATTCCAAGTTTTTTTTTCTTCTTAGAATTGTTAGTTTAATTCTCACAATTCAGTTTTTTTCCTTGCAATTGCGAGTTTATATCAAGCAATTCTGAGGAAAAAACTGAATTGTAAGATTAAACTCGCAAACGTTTTTTCCATACAGTTTACTATTATTTTGTAGTAAAAAAAAAAGAGTAGATGATGGGGACATAAAAACATGTAAATTATCCAAATTTAAATCAAATTAGTATTTTTATTAATTTGGTAGTTACAGTGTTAAACTAGTATACACATTTTAACTTGGAAAATGTATTGTGTTAATAAATTTGTCAAAAATATTTTATATTTATACATATTTTAAATAGAATCTGGCTATATGTAAAATGCATATGCTTTAAAATATTTGAAAATGTCAATTTGAAAATTGGCAATGCATATTTGAAATGAATAAATAATGTTATTCTAAAAATTCAAAATGTGTTCTTTTAAGGTATAGTGCTTACTGTAAAATTAGCTTCTTCTAAAAACTCTAGAAGTCTATGGTATGCGCTCTTTTCTACGGTGGCCGAGAAGTGCAGAACAAATCACAATTCTGAAAACAAAATAACAAATTACAAACGCAAATGCAAGTCTAAAAAACTAAATAACAATTCAGAAAGCACAACAACAATTCAGAAAACAAATTAACAAGTCAGAAAACACAACAACAAATCAGACAAACCGGAAAAGGTAGGTATAGTTTGAGACAGCGCCATTGGTTTGGGATTACTCACCACTGACTGGACGAGACATCTGTCAATCAACGTATACAGGAAGAACCAGCCGAAGAACAGCAGAGTCGTGGTAGAAAATTCGGAGATGGTATTAAAGTAGCTCAGTTTAAATGTATTGTATGAATTGCCCTCACTGTGGAATAAAAATTACGGGGTGTATATTTACATTTAGTTAAAAGTGACTGAAAACCATAGGCTCCAGTGGTGCAGATGGATAAGTGCTTGCCCTTGGCTTTTTGACGCGATCGACCCGGGTTCGATCCTGCCTTTTGCCGAACTTTTTTTTCCTCCCTTTTCAAATCTCGTATCACATCGTAAAGGCATTTATTTTCAACAAAAATTAAGGAAATAATCAAAAAGTTGAAAATAAAGTATGGGGTAGGGTTAGGGTAGGTGTAGGGAGGGCTTTATTGTACCAATAAGGTGGCATCCATTTAATAATTTTAATTTAAATTATAATTTACACTCAATACGTTATTATTGCATACTGTTTTATAATGTACTACAATACTGAAGTGCAGATAATTGCCACTATTTGCAACAAGTAGTATACTTGATAGTAGAAATCCTGCTATTTTAACATAGTGTAACTAGGTATTTGCACTTAGTGTAAATAGCATATTGCTAAAAATACTGCTATTTTCACTTAGTGTAAATAGAATCCATTGCTAATACGAGATTTGGAAAGGGAGGAAAAAAAGCAAAAGGCGCGTCAAAAAGTCAGTGATATGCACTTATCCATCTGCACCACTGGAGCTGATGTTTCACAGCTACTTTTAACTCAATCTAAATAGGCAACCCGTATTTTTTATTCCATAGTAAGGGCAATTCATACAATACATTTAAACTGAGCTACTTTAATACCATCTCCGAACTTTCTACCACGACTCTGCTGTTCTTCGGCTGGTTTTTCCTGTATACGTTGATTGACAGATGTCTCGTCCAGTCAGCGGTGAGTAATTATTTTTCTCTGGTTTCCTATGTGGCTTAGATTTCAGACAAAATGTATGCTACTGATGAAGGCACAGGTTGTGGTGTGTTTTGCATCTGTGCTTCGCATCTTTGTTCTGATTCCAGAGAAGTCCAGTTGAATGTCTCTCATAGTTCAGTTGGCGCTGGTCTCTGTGTTGTTGTGGTCCAGCACTGCCAGATTCCCTCAGGGAACTCAGTAGGTTGTTGCTAATCAAAAGCATCGTAAGTGAAGCCAGCTTCTCGCAAACTCGACACCATTATTTTAGTTTATCTGTTTGTTTATGTTCTTGTGGTGACTGTGAGGCGTTTATTGACCCAGAGCTGACAGTGTGAGACTCGTGCGTGTCCCCGCAGGGCCGCTGGATTGATGCCCGTCACTGATAGTGTTCAGGTCTGATACACACCTCATAAAGCAAGCAGGCTTCATCAACTTGAGGCGAGGTCAACCAATCAGAGAAGTCACTGTTACCATGGAAACCGCATGTGCGTCAACCTACAAAAATGTCAATGTATTAAGAAATATTTATAATTTTTTAATTTCCCTTGTTGTAATATTAAAATATATATTTAATGCATTTTAGTATTAATATGAAAAATATATCAAATATAATTTAATATATTTCTTACCATGCAGAATATTTCTTGATATTTACCAATAAACATTATATTTTTTTATTCTTTTTTTTTTTGTTTAATTTCTTGATTCTTTTGTTTTAGTATTACATATATATTTTAATGTATTTTAATATTAATATGAAAATATATTGTGTTATAATTTCATACATTTATTTCGGTATATAATATTTATTATTTAAGAAATATTAAATTTTTTCTTGCTTGCTTTTTAATTTGTCATGTTTTAAAATCAAATATATATTTAATGTATATTAATATTAAAATATATGAAAAATATAGTTTAATATATTTATTGCAGTATAATTAATAAATATTCTTAGTTCTTTCTTTCTTGATTTTTCTCTTGTATTCATATAAAATATAGTTTAATAATAAATTATAAAAGAATATCATTAAATATAACAATATATATAGTATAAGTAAATAATTAAATTCTTGATTATTTCTCATTTTAATATCAAATATGTATTTTCATATATTTGAACATTAATATGAAAAGATGTGAAAATACATTTAAATTATTAAATTATTGATTTATTACATCAATATTTGTAACTATTTAGTAAATAAGAAATATTCTTCTTCCTTTCCTTGTTTTTATTTCTTTTGTTTTTATATTAAAATATATTTACATAATAATTCTAAACTAATATCATTAAATATAAAATAATATATATTGGTTATAGTTTTATGTGAAAAAAACAAAAACAAAAGCCTGTTCTTTGATGACATCATCCTCCAGGAAGTGACATCATTGTGGAGGGAAAACAACAGCAAAAACATTAGTAAGTATAAGCTATTGATTTGGTGGATTCTGTTATACTTTGTGGTCTTATTTGGTCTGTCGCACTTCAGAATGTTCTATCCTGCTAAAATTTAATAATTTTGTGTTCAGAATTAACAAAGTTGACATCCTCATGTAAGATAACTATCTCTCTCTCTCTCTCTCTCATTGTGTTAATAATCAAGTTCCAATACAAAAACACATTTAACAGACACAATCACAATCACCCAAAGAGATTCAATTAGACTTGTAATGCCGTATGGGTGTATGGCATACATGAGTACTTCATTCAGTGCCTCATAAGTTCATGGCGAATGACTCAAATGCTATGATTCATGTCGGAGCTGGTCGGTTTGCTTCTTAGAACTCTTTACTGAAGCCTTTTCTGAAATGCCCGTGGAGAAAATGAATGAGGGAAATACTTCCCCCGACCAAATCACTGCTGCGGCCTATTGAACTGAGTAACAATCAACTGCTCTGAAACCCTCAGTGAAGTTCTTCAGCAAAGTATGAACAGCACGAACATAAAATAATGTCGTTTTCTTTTGTCTAGTGCGTATATCCTCCTGAGAACCAGAAATAAAAAGATTTGTGAATTTAGTATTTTTTCATGTCATTACATTGTTTAGAGCAGTGGTTCCCAACCCTGGTCCTTGAGGCACCCCAACACTGCATGTTTTGCATGTCTCCTTAATGAAACACAAGACAGGGCTGCCCAAACTCGGTCCTGGAGGGCCGGTGTCCTGCAGAGTTTAGCTCCAACCCCAATTAAACACACCTGAAGCAGCTAATCAAGCTCTTATAGGCATACTAGAAACTTAAAGGCAGGTGTGTTGAGGCAAGTTGGAGCTAAACTCTGCAGGACACCGGCCCTCCAGGACCGAGTTTGGGCAGCCCTG